ACGGTCGACCGACTCGTCAAGACAACCACGCAAGTCATGCGCATGGTGAGAAGGATAACGAGTCACAGACACGGGCTCGAGGAGTCGGACCTGATCCGGCTGACCCAACCACTCGTCGTGAGCCACATCGCCTGCGCAAATCCGTATCTCAACCTGCTGTCGAGAGGTAAGGGCAAGATGGACGTGATTATTCGCAAGGGGTACTAGCTGGCACTGGGGGTGCCGCCGCACGCGTCGAACGCCAAGCTCCGGCGGCTAAGTGTAAACAACACCTTCCAGGAACTCATCAACATGCACCTAGCCAGTCAGTGGGAGCACCTGGCCCTCACACTGAGTGGGCGGCATGCCCCGAGCTCGCTCGGCATCCCCATCCCCGCATCGCAATGCGAGGCTATCCAGCTGCTGCTGGCCCTTTGGGACAAGATCCAGGTGGCACCAATCCCGTGGAAGCTGAACCCATCTTTGCATCCAGGTCGCTGGATGGCTCCCGGTCCCTTCATTCCGCTTAGTCCCGTCGTGTAGCATAGGGCCCCTGGTAGCAATTGGTTGCTAGCCCAGCATTTAAGCATACTCCAGCCTTTTTGTATGTAAAGCAAAACAATTACTGCAACTGAATACTTCTTACCTGACAATAATCATAGTTTGCACTGCTCAATGCCCTTCTGTTTTATCTAAAATACCGCAAGTAAGTACTCCGAGTACCGGTCGGAATACTGCGGTGCAGGTGAAGTTTCTACTTCACCTGTTGCCCTTCTGTTTTATCTAAAGTACCGCAACTAAGTACTCCGAGTACCGGTCGGAGCTCTGCGATGCCAGGTGAAGTTCCTGCTTATAAAAAAGTGTCTGCCCAAAAGCTTGCTTCGGTACCACGAGCTGCAACAGGAAGCCTGATGCAGAGGCTTTAAGAGCAAGCTCCATGCTTTGAATGTTGCTAAGCATGCGCGCTTGTGCAGTGCAACTGTCGTTCAGGACAACGTGCTCATTCTTGGCATTTCAGTTTCACTTGCACTTAAAGGGATGTTGAACCGAAATCTGGATTCCATAAAACACGGCGGCAAAAGCGTGTAACAAGATGCTACAAACACTAAAACATCACTCATACAGCGATATTTCGAATGGATGACCTTATTTTTAAAAAAAAGGAGGCGCATTTGACAGATTTGTTTGTCTTGTTTCTCCGAGAAGGAGAGGGAACGACCTCGCGTCTTCTCCGCCTCGCCGCCTTGAGGGGGCGAAGCAGAGAGAGGAGAAAACGAGATATCTCGACGTCACGCGCCTCATCGGCCTCGTTCAATCTCAACCTCTTTCTCCAAAACTACGGCCGTCCATTCGAGATATCGCCTTGAGACTACGAGTAGTGTTTTAGGGATTGTAGCGTCCCGCCTACGGCTTCTGCATCGTTTTCTGAAATCCAAATTTCGGTTCACCAGCCCTTTAAAGGGAAACGGAGTGTGGCAGCGATGGGATGATTTCTTGTGTCAGCCGGAGTTGCCTACCATTACCACTGTAGGGCAGCAAAGGCTACAGGCATGCAAGAGCGACTTTGCGAAGCGCTTTCGCAGAACAAGAGCTTGCGATAGAGCGTGTACTAGCTCGCACTTGTCGCCTTCGACCGCGCTGTCACCCTGGCAAGCCTTCGGCAACACCTTCAGAATGCCCGCATTCTTCAAGAAATCCACAATGTTATGAATATACCACAACAATGCCTGGCTTTTATTTTTTTCTAAAAAAGAGCATTTCTGAAACTTTGAAAATGCAGCAGTGCACGCTCATTACCTTCGGTACTGCTTAGTACGTGCTCACTCACGCTCACCTTATCCAGGCTGAAAAGCTTGTGCTCGGACGGGGCGTATTGAACACTGGTGGTGTCTTTTGACTGAAGTAATATACAAAGTATGAACAGGAGTGATAAAGAAACACAATATTTAATGCCGGTCATCTCCACTTTTAAAAAAGTATCTCAACGTGAGATTAATTTGACATTTCGTATTAAGGGTGATGAATTCCAGACAGGGTGACACAAACCGTTTTGATAAAAACGTAAAAACAAAATGCAACTACTCCATACAGGTGTCTAATAGTTTGATGACTAGGAAACAACACGGAGGACTAGAGAAATGTGATGAATATAAACGAATAAAGCTGGTCATGAATTGAAGCATACTTAGGTATGTGAGCCACACAACTTGCAGCTGCCATCTCAAGAAAAACAAACAAAGTCTTTAATGATTTCGAAAATCGGAACAATCCTGGCAGGAGTTTCACAGACTTTGGCGATTGCACTATGTGATCAGCAATCAGGCTACAGGTGTTTTCTTGATTGTATTAATCACCTTGATTGCGACTGGCCGTAGCTGTGAGCAGATTAGAATAAGACAAAGCCTCTCAAGAAGGCAGCTCGTATTGTACAGTCGGGGACAAAAGTCTCCAGGACACGCGAGCTGCGACTGAAACGCATCGCTCTGCCATCTGCCGGTGGGTCGCCTGGTTTCGAGATCACAGAAAAGCGCATGCGCGTCCTACTGTGCCTGCCAACATGTGCGCTTTCCCGCTCTTCTGCGGCGCGGCGCCTAACTCGGAATCGGGCGCGTGGTACCGCCTCGGAGATAGCGCTTACTGACACGGCACATATCAAGCAAAAAGTCACGGCATCTCAACTGAGCGATAAGCTCAATTGGTTATAAAGCAAGGTGCGCTGACACGGCGAAATGCGGCGAATTGCCCCAGACGGTATCTCGAGTTTCGGAATGTGTAGCAGAGGCTCGTCAGCCGCCAGCGCCATCTCCGAGGCGGTACCACGCGCCCGATTCCGAGTTACGCACTGTGCCGCAGAAGAGAGGAAAAACAGACATGTTTGCAGGCAGAGTAGGACGCGCATGCGCTTTTGTGTGATCTCGAAACCAGGCCACCCGCCGGCAGATGGCAGAGCGATGCGTTTCAGCCGCAGCTCGCACGTCCTGGAGACTTTTGTCCCCGACTGTACGTCTTCTGGCCATGGGCGAAGCCGAAAAGCCAGTAGGCCGCCATGACCACAGTAAAGCCTTCGAAAAGCCAAATGGTTCCCTCCTGCATATAAAAGCAGAATTGATTCAGTCAGAGAACAATAAAGGCCGCACTGATGAGTATGATTTTAAGCATGAAATGCTTTTAGCTCCCGGCCACCAAACTGATGACATATTGTCACGAATGAAGGTGACGAAAAGCCGAACAGTGAACTGAAAATAAAGATTTAATGGGCGAACTTGTGCCAACCAAAAATCAATAACGAAAGAGCGTCGAGGTAGCAGAAAAGCGGGCGGCGGTTCGGCGGCACTACAGAGCGCTAGCGAAACTGGGACTGACTCGACAAGGTCGCGGGAGCCGCTTATCTACCCTGCGTCACTATCTCGAAAGTTCGGCAAAGAAGGTTCGAGCGTCGCGCGCTCGGGGCGAGGATGAACTGGCACTTTCGAGAATAACAAAGCAGAAGGAAAGTTACGTCTGCTGCGAGAATGACCGGGAATCTTCTAGAAGACTGTGACCAAGCGTTGCCTTCTCGGCTCTGCGGGCGGCATTACCCCCCCCCCCCTTTAAAAGTGCATCGCCACGATGCAAAACGAAAGGAAAACGGAAATGGCTAAAACAATTACGGCGAAACAAAACAAACATGCAGTTTCACAATCCTAACGCGCGTAGAACGGCTTGAGTCGAACTACGTGGACGACTTCGGGTCGTGGCTGGCGGCGTCCTGATGGGCGAGTTCCGTCGGGGAGCACCTCGTAGTTCAAGTCCCCAAGGCGGCGGATGACCTTGTAGGGTCCGAAGTAGCGTTTTAACAGTTTCTCGCTGAAGCCGCGGCGGCGAATGGGCGTCCACACCCATACCCTGTCTCCGGGCTGGAACTCCACGTCGCGGCGGCGAAGGTTGTACCGGCCAGCGTCCACACGTTGCTGGTCCTTTATTCGAAGACGGGCTAGCTGGCGTACTTCTGCTCATTGGGTGACCAACTGGGCGTCGTCGGTGCCGTCGTTCGTCGGTGCCGTCGTTCGTCGGTGCCGTCGTTCGTCGGGTCGTGAGGCAGCACGGCGTCGAGCATCGTCGTCACCTTTCTGCCGTGCACCAAATCGAGATCATGTCGGCGATGGTCTTGTTTAGTCGCTCCGTCAGCCCGTTGGTCTGCGGGTGGTATGCCGTTGTGCGGCGGTGTTCGAGGTCTGCGACGACTGGAGGTCCATTGTTGACCTCGTTGGTTGCTTGATCTTGGTTGGCAGAAATCCGAGTTCCGGGGGTAGCTCTTGGTTGCGGCGACTTGATCGGGTCTTGCTTGTGTCTTCGTTGGGTCTTCGTGGGCTTGGTGTCGGACTTGCACTGCGGGCCCTTGGAGGAGTACGCTGCAGGGACATGCGTACCCCGCACCTCCACCAGAAATGTCACGAATGAAGGTGACGAAAAGCCGAACAGTGAACTGAAAATAAAGATTTAATGGGCGAACTTGTGCCAACCAAAAATAAATAACGAAAGAGCGTCGAGGTAGCAGAAAAGCGGGCGGCGGTTCGGCGGCACTACAGAGCGCTAGCGAAACTGGGACTGACTCGACAAGGTCGCGGGAGCCGCTTATCTACCCTGCGTCACTATCTCGAAAGTTCGGCAAAGAAGGTTCGAGCGTCGCGCGCTCGGGGCGAGGATGAACTGGCACTTTCGAGAATAACAAAGCAGAAGGAAAGTTACGTCTGCTGCGAGAATGACCGGGAATCTTCTAGAAGACTGTGACCAAGCGTTGCCTTCTCGGCTCTGCGGGCGGCATTCGTGATTGGCGCGCCGGATTCGAGGTTAGGGAAAAAAGAAGACGCGCGACGCAGCACGTTTTGTTAGTCCTAGCGGGTAGTTCAAACGTCAACCGATTCGCAACGAACAAACGAAAGTAGTTTTGAGACGCGCACATAGCTGAGAGTCCGCGCGAAGAACGTCCAGGCTACGGAATCGAGAGACGACGCCACCCGAGCGTTGGGGAACTACTAACGATGCCCGACGTCTTCCTCAAGGCCGACATGAGGGAGCTGTTGGCCAACAAAAAGGTCGCTCTGCTCGGCTGTTCGAACGTGCGGGCCATGTACAAGGACCTGGTATGCCTGTGGCAGGTGGACCAGCTGGTGTCTAACAAGCGTCTCCGCTGCAAAATGGAGGAGAGCCACATGGGGGACGTGCTCGTCTGCCACGGCAAGCAACACAACGGGCGGGATTACCGCGAAGAGCGGCTCTTCCGCACCCGCAATGGGAGCATCAGCTTCTTCTTCCTGACGCGTGTGTGGAGCGACTACGTCCGCAGCATCCTGGCGAGGCTGGCCGACGACGCTCCAGACGTGGTGGCCATTAGCTCCTGCCTCTGGGACATCACTCGGTGGGGTCCCGACGGGGTGCAGCAGTACAAGGCGAACCTGGAGAGTCTATTTGGGGCCCTGCGAGAAGCCCTGCCACCTTCCTGCCTGCTCGTGTGGCTCACAGCACCGCCACTGTCCCAGGACGTGCGGGGAGGCTTCCTCATCCCACAGCTCGAGTTCCTCAAGTACTCGCTCCGGTTTCATGTCCTGGAGGCCAACCTCTTCTGTCGCGGGGTGGCGGACCGCTTCATGGTGGACACGCTGGACCTGCACTTCCACCTGAGGCTGCTGCTGGACCTGCGGGCGGACGACGGCATCCACTGGCTGCCCATGGCCGTGCGCCTGTGCACCAACCTCTTGCTGGGCCACATCGCCCTCTCCTGGGGAAAGCCGATGCCCAACAGGTGTGGATTCCTCAGCGAGCAGGAGCGCCGAGCAGCGGCCCCAGGGAACGTCCCCGACCCAGATCGCTCCCTGCCCGCAGACCTCTCCTTCGGCACAATTTTCGGGGACGACTCCAAGCAGAAGGAAAGTTACGTCTGCTGCGAGAATGACCGGGAATCTTCTAGAAGACTGTGACCAAGCGTTGCCTTCTCGGCTCTGCGGGCGGCAATATCTTTTCGGGAACTAACGCCAAAAATCACTTCAAAACATCCCAGGTTTCGAAGTTGACTTTTGCGTTGGTTTTTGTTATTTGAAACCGGCTTTGAAACCTACTGGGTCTCGAAGTCAGTTTTGGATCAGAAAGGTGTGCACTAGCAGGGTTCAAAATTTGCTGTCAAAATTTTGTTTCCTTGAGACAAGGAAACAAAAAGGAACATACACACCACCGTCTCAAAACCAGCACAGCATACAGCTGTCATTTATTTCCACAAGTCTTCTTCCTTGTCATCCCACACGCTACACATGCTATGGAACCTATTCCTACACACGCTATGAAACCTATTAATTCCGAACTAGAGCTTTAAAAAAATTATCCAACATTCACATTACTTTTTTTGTATGCCATCTCACTACCGAATTCTAAACCAAGAGTGCATCATTCGTTTAGACCATTTGAAGCAATAGCCTGACGAGGAGCCCGTTGTCGTCACGCTTTGACGGCGCACTTTAGTTCACCTTTCTGCCGCCGTCTTGGGGGGGGGGGGGGGGGGGTCTCAGGCATTGTCCCCGCGTAAATATTACCACAACTGTTTAATTGATTGGTGCGGCACACAAACTTCTGTTCGGGCTGGAACTTGGTCAACAGTGTCTGAGATGAGCCCGACGCCCATTTTAGACGTCAAATAAAATTTCGAAATTGCTTTTATAATCTCTTTAAGAGTTTGAATGCATGCGTCTGGAATTCGCAAAATTTAGTGGCCGCGATTATGTCCTCTGTGACCGATTTGCAAAAATAAATGGTTTTACAGTAATGATTCAGATTGTGATTTATTGGGAATTAACCAGTGCTGTTAATAACATGCTCTGTATTGTCCGCTCTGCTGGTGTTTTTTCTGCCGTCATTGCATCCACGCAGCTTGAAAGTGCACTGCTTTATGCGACATGTGGCACGCACACACCGTGGAACTCCACTTCATAGCGTGGCATGTGGTGGCAGCAAAAGCCTCTGCCAAAAACATGCTAAGCACAGCATTTGTGGCGGCAGAAAAGATACAAGGCTATTATCTTGTTCCCGAGAGTACAGTATGTTGCAGGTTAAGACGGTACGGTGAGGGGAAGAAGCTCCGTCTACATTCTTTCCACTTTAGCAGAAAGGATGCTATAGAGAGAAGAAGGAAACCGCCAATCGTGGCAAGCAAACCCTTTTTGGACTGGCAGAAGTGATGGGACACGCCAGGCAGTGTAAAAAAAGGGGAAGGGGGCGGTGGACTGCAAACGTGTTTACCAAGAATAAAAAGGGGGAAGAATGAAAAGAGGTATTCTTCTGTAGATTCCTTTTTCTCCCGGAGCTGTGAATGTGCCATGGCCGGACTGGGCTCAACTCAATGCCCCAAATCATATTTAAAAAAAAAATTATTGCCGGCAGAGTTTTGCGGACTCCTAAAATGCCTTTACAGAGAGGTTCCACAAACCCTCTTTTCAGAACCGTTGGCCTAGATTGCGGGCATGGGCATCTGCAGTACGTTTTGCAGGAGGGGGAGGGGGTAAACCTCGTTTTCTTTCAAAGTTATAGGTTTGAAAGCTACACCCCTTCAGAATAATCCCCCCCCCCCCTTTTCCGCCACTTTGCTGACGCCCATGATTGTGGGCACCTCATCACTTACAAAATGTTTCCTTGAACCCATGTGTAGAAAGTAGGAGCCACCATTCAAGCCCCTGTCATGACTACAGTGCAGACATATCACAATAGCAGGGAAGAACAATAAATAATAATGGACAGTCTGACCGGAAACAATATTGGTACAGTTTCAGACTCGCCGCTCAGCTTGCCAGCTGAGCCAGGCTAGAAAAACGAAATTGGCAAAGTGAATGAGTTGCAAGTATAAAGATGCAATAACAAAACCCTACTGGAGTTCTTAGAAAATGTTGGGGCCTTCTTGTCAATGGAAAAGGCACTCGGTAATTAAATCCAATACTCTTTCGGATAGTGAGATTGATATCGTGGTAAGGTGGGTGCTTGTCCCAAGCTCTTGTTTTAGCACCAGTGGGTGTCAAGTTACACACAGCCAGAAAACAAATCAGCATAGCCAAACGAAGCACAGGACAATCGCATCCGTAAAATAGCCGATGTTCCATATTTCAATTAGTTTTTGATCTCACTCTGCGCAGCACACAATTCGTAGCAGACGATTGTCCCTTTTTGGCTCTGTTCGCCGATGACTTGCCAGTCTGTTCGTCGTTTTGTTTCTGTCAGAGAATGATACCTACCTAGTAGCAAACATACTCATTATTATTCCCTCATGTTAGCAGACGATGCGTCTGGTAGTGGTATTTTATAGCGAGTTCGTTTCACACGCACTGGCACCGTTCGAGTTCTCTCCCAGAATGCATCGCACTCGCAGAGTGTTGCACGGAGAACTGGACTCAAACGAATTCGCCAAATGCACCAAGTGCGGAAGACTGATGCTGCCGCCATCTATGTTGTAGAAAGAATACCGACCTCAAACCGAAACTGGCGCCTTGCTGTTCGGAGTGTTGGGTGGCAATGCGAGAGTACAGTCGCTACCAACGTTTATCTACAAACGTTGGTCGCTGCAGCCTGTAGTTTATAGTTGCGACGACTTCAAGCAACTCGGCTGTCATAGGGATAGTTACAGACGGCGTAAATTTCCGCAACCAGCTGTTTACAAAGCAGCTGGTTGCGATCTTTCAATTCTCATAACCGTTTACACTGAAGAAAATGGATGATGCTGTCCGAGCAGAAGCTTGATCCATTTGAGTATGGCATTATGCGTGGACCACTGAAAGGGTACGCCTTAAAACTAGTCTGCTGGAATACCTAGCAAAACTTTTCAATTTCGATCGTCATTACAGGTGGATCAGATATTAGCTTTGGTGAGGGCGTCAAGAACGAGAGCTTTCTCGAACAAAATATGACGGGGCAAGTTAGCTGAAGTAGGTAAATGTTAAACATGATGATGTTGCCCAAGCCTCGGGTAAAATCACTAAGTTTAGCTTTCTCTGATGCTTATTGGGCAGTCAAAGTTTCTGCTGGGGCAGTTTTGTCGACAAATCTTCAATTTTTCACCCGCACACATTGGTGATAAACATCTCGGGGGCCACTGATGCATTTGTTCTGAGCATTTCTTTACACACTGGTATATTTCAGCGTTTTTACGGCAACAGAGCGACTTAAAACCTCCAAATAAAGCACGGTTTGTCAACTGCTTCCTTCATGAAATAGGAGACGCTCACAGTTCAAGCTCGCGTTTGATTCCGTTGCCCGCGGGACGCAATTTCTATCAGAAAATCTACTTTTTTTCCTTTCAGTTCCGCGACACATCGTAGCAGACAAACTTTCGTCATCTGCTCCAGCACCTTGCCGGCCTAGCCGGAGCGAGGCACGACGGGATTGCATTTTGGCGCAATCTCGATTTTCTCAGTGCAGCAAGTGCATGCACGTGTGGGGTGTCAGCAATCGTTTTGATGGATCCTCTTCGCCCATCAGCATCCACTCAGTAATTTTAATATTGTATGTGGTTCTCAAAACAGTGCATTTAAGACCCTGCGCATCTTGACTTTGTTAAAGCTTAGTCTAGCTGCCAGCTAGTCACCCTACAAATTTATCACCTATTTTACGACTTTACGAAGACTGGAATTGAAAAAGGCTTAAAAGGCAGGAATTGACCAAAACCGTCATCATAGTTGCAAAAAATGGCAACAGCAGCAGAGTATGAGTAGTTACCTTTCCATATTTTTGTTTAGTGCTGACTCAGTTGTGGCCCTGTAGGCCAATGAACTAACTTACTCAGCTCAAGCTCGCCTCGTGTAATAATCGCTTGTGCGACTACCGTATGCTATGCCTGGAGACACAGCTACGCATGCACTCACACCCCCTGAATAAAGTGGCGGATGCAATGACAGTTACTCTTTCACCTTGGAAAATTTGATTTCCTCTCATAGGGTGACCTTCGGTTAGGACTGGTTAACATCTCATTTTGGAAATGCACTACTAATGTAAAGTAAAGATGGAATTAATTAAGATTTATCTGG